ATGTTAGTATCATGTTAGGGCTAAAGCTTTGATCTTTATTGTTTAGTGAAATGCTAGGGTTTGTTATTAATCTTGTTAGTATCATGCCTAGGATCTTGCTACTATTATGCTTTAACATGATTGTTATGACTATTGTCATGTTTATTTTCATAATTTTTATGATGTTGATATAATGATTATTATTATGATGATTATTATTGTTATTATTATTATGTTGCTTGATGTTTATTGTTATTGCTTGATAACGCCTTTTATGCATGTTTAAAGGGAATTTGTACTTGTAATCACGCTTAATAAGATAATTAATAATCTTGTTTAGGGTTAATATGATTATAATTCAAGTGATCGCCAATAATAGTTGTATTTGTGCATTAATATTCAACCAACATAGATTAAACAGGTTTAGGGTAAACCTATTGATTGCATGTTAGTCAGAAAGCGCACATGAATATGAGAAGAATAAAGTAGAGGCCTATTATTAGGGCAGGTTCAATCTCTTTTAGGTTGGATTTGTACCTTCATCCCCGAACTTCCAGTCATGGTTCCAGATTTGTTGGAGTTAACGATCTCCTGGATCGTTAAGGGGTGTAACCTTCACCATGCGAAAGGTTTACAAGTTCCTAAAACTTGTTGGCGACTCTTTTGCTCTAGCTTCCTTCCCTTTGGACGCCACCATTCTTAAGTGTATGATCATAGTGGGGTACAAATTTGGGGTAATGCTTGAAATATTCCCTACAGTTTTTTGGCGACCCCACTGGGAAGGATTTCTATTTTAATTCCTGAAATTTATTTCGGCAATGATTTAGCATGAGTGGATGAGACTCGAAAAATTTTAAGTATTTCATGTGCATAATTTTGATTAACATTATTGTCATATGCATAAAAAAGGATCTCATTGGAAAGACCATCCGTAATGAGTCAAAAGCATAGGATTTTTACACGTAGGAAATTTGAGGAATATCTTTCACAACTAGAACCGAAATAATGCTGCGAAAATTTGGAAAATTTTTCGAACACAGAAAGCTGCTGAGGCATGTAGGAACTGGCGTCTAGCAAACAGAGCCTGTCGCCGAAGATATGGCTTTGTTGCTGAGCGATAATTCTGTCGCCAGGCGACAAAGCTATATTGCGGCAACAGTCTCTGTTGATTGGCGTTGTGTTCTTACAATACCGAGCTAGAAATATGAGTTCTAATTTCGACCAGTACTAGCACTGTTGGCTCGATTCTACTTCCTGATTGAGTTTTTCTCTTTTTTTCTGAAACCCATATGTATTCTACATATGGACATAATCCTCTGGGAATTCATGCACCATCTACCTGATTAAACGCTCTGAGTAACAAAGGGTACATCCGAGAATGTTGAATTTACCAAACCATGAAAGCGAGTTTAACTCGCGGGGTCCCATCCACTCGCGCCAACCCTTCCAAAGGTAAGGCTTCCGTGCGGTTCATCTGAACTCATAACCATGGACCCTCTTTGCCTAACCCATATCCTAAACTTTAGAGAACTAGAGCCATGGTTAGGTTGCAAACTCATTGCATCATATTGTGCCTACTTGACTATTTGTGCATTATTTGCTATGCATACTCTCTATATACGAGGTTAAAATGGATAAAACAAGCTATCAATCTAATTAGAAACTTTAAACCAGAAAAATTAAGCCATAAAAACACCGCGAAAACAAACCTAAAAACAAGACCTCTGTTGAGGTTTGGTGAGTCCGACTCACCGCGGAAACAAACCTAAAAACAAGACCGCACTCGCAATAAATAAAACCATAAACATAATTAAATAAATCACAAGATTAAGATAAAACAATTACCTTTGGAGCGTGCTTCGCCCGACCGCTTGGGGTCTTACTTAAAAGATAGCTTCGAAATTACGAAGCCTCCGACGTTGATCCACCCACAATTAACAAATATCGACAAGGTCCAATGTCTTGGGGTTAGCAAGACCCGACCGATGAAACCCGAGTATTGAGTTCAAAGGCTTTCACTAAATGTGATACCTTTTCCAACTCTTGAGTTCAAGGGTTTTCATTTACTTGTGATCCCCTTTCCAACTTTTACTCAAGCATCATTTCCAATACCCTTACTTGGGTATTTATAGGAAATGATTGTCTCTCCCACCAATGTGGGATAGTGAGATTTTCACATTTTATTTTAAAGGTAAAATAAAATTATTTAAGCAAGCTAGTAATAAATCAACAAGTGTTAACTATTCATGAGAGAGAAAGTGAGGACCACTTGGAGAGGAGGGGACCAAACTTGCTCCCCACTTTCTTCCTCTCCATGTGCCACATGCCCTCCCTTTCACTAAGCTCCCATTTACTCCTCCCTTGCTCACGGACCAGCTACCCGCCCCACGGCCTAGCTACCCGCGCTACGGCCCAGCTACCCGCACCACGGAGATGCGGGCTGCTGGTGCTTGCGGCTAGAAAGCCGGGCACTCTGAGTGCGGGTTTCTGTTGTTCGCTGCTAGCATGCCGCGCACACCGAGTGCGGGCTTCTATAGCTCGCTGCACTTATATGCCAAGGCTGGTCCTTGGCCTCTAGCAATGGTGCGCTAGCACGCACTAGCCAGCCTAGGCTCGGCTCGGCTTGGTGCGCATTCTAGCCACCATGTTATGCATTGTACCCCTAGCACTTGGATTACTCAGGGAACTCTGATGCTAGGGATATTTTTGGGAGTTATATTGATTTATTACTATTTGCACATCTCGTCTTTCATTATTTTTTACTCGACTTCCGACGCTCGTTTTTGACGCTCTAAGCTCGAATTTCCGACGTCTAAATAAATATTACTTGGTCGACTCATTAATTCCTTCCAAATTAATTCGTCGCTTTGGCCCGTTGATTGCTTGGGTGTGACCCGAAGGGTTCAGACAAGATTAAGTTGTAATATTAATTATGCATTAATATTACTGATCGGAAGCGGCCTCCACCCAGGCATTCCGATCACTTGACCTTACTTAATATATTAGCTTTCTAATAATTCTGAACCCACTATCAGAATAATACACTTGTTCGAAGGACACTATTCCTTTCACTTTTGGGGTTCTTTTAAGACATCTAACTAACTTCTCCTTAGTTAAATTTACTATATAGAATTTCTTCATTTTTAGAGAGAGAATTATCTTGAATAAGATGAAAATTTGTATTTGATTAGAATTTTAGAGAGAGAAGGTCAAGATTTTTGAAACTTTGTTCTTAGATTTTAGAGAGAGAAACTTGGTAATTGATAATTGCTAAATTTTGATCTTCATTCACTTTGATATTGATTAAGTATTTGTAAGAATTCTTTCCTCTTTAATGCAATTTTAAGTGTTAAATTCTTGATATATTGTTGAATTTCTATAGTTTGTTTGATTTGATTGTTGATATTTGGATTGCAATGTTGATGAAATTGATGTTTAGTTTTGTTATGCTTTTCAATTTTACAATGTGTAGTGAGTAGTTCCTTTACTAGGGATGTGGTGAAGCATTTATGAATGATAAGCTATAGCTAATTTGGGGTTTTTGATTGATTTGATGATGTGATTAAATTGGTTGATAAATTTGTGTATGTGTTTGATTTGAAGAGGAGTAGCTAACCTTGATTATCAAGCTAGATTGCATAGTAGTTTTCAATAACCGAAAAATTGATTTGGAAGCTATTATTATCGATTGATCTTGTTTAGCGATTTTCCTTTAGAGTCATTTGTAGAGACATCTAGCTTGATGAAATAACTCTTTGAGTGATTTTGATTGCAAATATCGTTTTCCCTCGTGTTGCTTGATTGATCAAATTCCCGACAAATTAGCCAGTTTATCGTGAGTGCATTTGGATCCTAAATCCCTAGTGCTTTGATATTGAATTCTATTTGTTAAGCTTTGCTTGAGTTGATTTGCCAGCTTAAACCAACCCTATTGTTTAAGACTTCGAAATAGCTTAACTAGAGACTTTAGCATATACCGCATCCCCTTGGGTTCGACCTGGACTTACCCCTATACTTAAGGTTGGGTTTGGATGAATAAATTTTGTTTTGATCGAGGATACTTAGAAATCAACGACCTAGGTTTCACCCGCGTCAAATATATTATTTGAAGATTAATAATTTCTATAAAGACAAGAAAAAAGAACGAATGACCTCACGAAATTGTCCAACTGTTACATTCTCAAATTTCAATAAACTAAACCATGCTCTCGCTAGCAAAACTAAAGACAACAACAAATAAAGAAATTTTTGGAATCATAAATATTTGTTAGAATAGAACAACCAAACCCATTCTTTTGCTCTCAATAATACCCTATGTATTATATTTTCATGTTCGAAATTTACACTAAATTAGAACACAATAATTAAGAACCACCACCAACATTACTCCCCATCACATACACGCTAATATTTCCTTAACCTCTATTAATCATGCATTCAATTACAATGTAAATTAGTGAATTATTAAATAAGTTGGACTATTTTAATAGTAGAAAAACATTACTAGAGATTGAGCTGATAACTTAGAAACTAATTAAAGGTGGACTACTCTAGTTGATGTTACCCAAATCATCCCCATAAAATGAAATCAGGGATATTTTATAATAAAGTATAATAATGTATAACACCCTCTAGCTAGTATACTCCCCCCGTCCCATAATAGTTAAAACATTGGGTTGGACGCGTAGTTTAAGAAAACTATAAATGGGTCCATTAAATATATTTGTTTATTGTATAAAAGATTCTCTTTTGTATTTTTATATTATAAGAAAACAACAAAGTGGACTAAGAGTAGGGTAGGTGGGGATGATGAGTGTCATTTATGGCACTCATAGGGTAGTCTTTTAGGATGTTTTCACCCTATTTTCATAGATTTCTTTTATTATTTTGGTCTTTTCTCCTTTAGTTTATCTATTTCTTTCTTTCTTCATGTTTTACTTTCCTTTATGTGGTTTTCTTCGCATTTCCCTTTTATGTGGTTCTTTTTCTCTTCTATTTTCTCTCTTTGTTTACTTTTGTAGGTGATTAAGGAGTTGGCTTTGCAAAGGGATCAAGAAGAGAAAAAATTGCTAAGCAAAGAAGAAGCAAGCTCCTTGGAGAGGGCTTGGAAAGGTGATAAGTGTTTTTTATGTAACTTTTAGGGTGTTTATTGAGTCGTTTTCCGGCTTATTTTCCAATAATTTTGCTCATTTTGTCCTTTATTTCTTTTATTTGCTTATTCTCGTCTTTTATCTTTATTTTGAGTATTTTTGTAGTTTTTAATAGTTTTTAGTTTATTTTTGTAGTTTTAGTTAATAATTTCCCACTTCTCTCGTTTTATTTATTTTCTTTTAGTTTCTAGTTTATTTTATTTTATTTTTTTTATTTCATTTAATTTTATTATTTCTTTAGTTTTAGCATTTTATTTTACTTTATTTATCTTTTTTTATTTTATTTTATTTTATCTTTTGATGATTCCCTCGTGTTGTTTTGGTTGTAGGTATTTTCGGGTCCTTGGTCGATCGAGTTCAAGGTCCGAGAATTGAGTCAAACAACATGCTCCAAGCTGTCCTAGCTGCTATCACCTTAACCATCACCACCTATTTCCCTACCCTACACCACACTGCATTGCTCCCTGCTTTCCCCCAAAAACACCAACAGCAACAGCAACGAACACAACACCATCAGTTGACCCATTTCATCCACCTCACGCAACCCCACAACACCACCAGCAATCACAACCGCATCAGTCAAACCACCAATCAGCAACCGCAGCCAACTCCCCTGCTCCAAACACCTTGCTGCCACTATTATCCACCACCCTACCTTTCCCTTATCCTGCACCACAACAACAGCAACCAATTCCCCTTCACCAATTCGCACCAGCATCCCACCAATAATTCCAATTCAGCCCACCAATAACCCCAAATCTGCACACCTGAACAACCCCCTCAACCACCGCACATCCCGCAACCTTAGCAAAGTAGTCCACCGCAATTACTCACCCCGATTCCACTTTTTCTACGCAAAATCAGCCGCACAAATGACCCACTCCAACAAGCTCCGACCACTCGCAACACCTCACCAAAAATAGAGAAGCCTCACGCAGCTCACATCCCACAAATAACACCACCTTCCACCGAAACCACCATCAATCTCCACACCACCAATCGCAAGCAGCCCAAGATCAATTACAACATTAATCCCAGTTGCACTTCACCTCTATCCCACCGCAACCAACACAGTAGCGAATTCTAGCCACCACTCTTCACCTTTAGCAAATATCGAACCTCAATTAAGCTCCTATTTGATTGGAGCTTCGCGGGCGCACGACCCTGTCAGAAGGCGCACATATCAGACTCTAAAACAGATTGTAGGCAGTAAGTTATGCGCGACGTCTTCGCGGGCGCGCAAATGCGGCTTTAATCACGAAGTTCTCAATCACAAGCTTCTCACGTGATTTTAATGAAGATCAAACGACGTTGATTTGATGCTTAATGATTGACGATGATGATGAGCGGTGATGATTGAAGATGAAAATGGTTGGTGATGATTGATGAAGACGATCAAACAGTGGTGATGATGATTCAAGAGCAGCCAAATTGAAATAGAAGAAGATTAGGAGGCTAACGGTTTGGGGATTTATGGGTTGATTATTTTCATTTTTGTTTTCCTTTCCATTTATCATTTTTTCCCTTTTCTTATTTCTTTATTTTCTTTATTTTTCTATTTCTTTTGTTATTTTATTAAGTTAGTATAAATACCCATTTTTTGGTATATAGTTTTATTCAACAAACATCATTTTATTCTATTTTCTTAATTAGTTTAGGAGAGCTTCTCTCTCTTAGGGTTAGATTAGATAATTTTTAGAGAGAGAAAGTAGATTATTGCTCAATTTTCATCCAAAAATTCAACTTTGTTCAAGTTTAATTTTCAATCAAGCAAGAATTCAAGTTTTCATCTTTCATTAATCCTTTCTTTAGTAATCTCTAATCCTTTCCTTTAGCTTTATTTATTTGCATTTATTTTTTCTTATTTTTGTTAATCTTATTAGTTCATCTAGTTGTTATTGATTTCATTGTTTTCAATCATGTTTTGTTTTGAGTTTCTTGAGTTTGTTTCTAGTTTTGATATTATGTTTAAACTCCCTTATCTAGGCTAATATTTTAGCTAGGGGAAGGGGTGGAAAATATGAGTTGATATTGGATGAATGATGATGGTTGGATTGAACTTATTCTATAAATTGATGAAAGACATTATTTTTAATAGCTTGAGATTATTGATGCACTCTATTTGATGTTTTCTAGTTTAAATGCATGAAAGTGATTTGAACTAGATTAAGATCATCTCTATTTTAATGATTGCATGAGAATGAGTTATTAAAGTGGAGTTTTTATGGATTGTGCTTCTTTATTCTCTTGATTTGATTATAACTAATAGGATGCATGATAATGATCCTTATTAGTGTAGACCTCTTTCATTGATTTGCCTAGACTATTGCATGAGAATGAATTGTTTAGGTAGAATCTTGTGTTCTTTGACATGTGTTTCATGTTAATCATCATTATTCCCCTCTTTCTAATTATATTTGACACCCCCGTATCCCTAGCGTCATTTTCCCTTGATTTTAATCATCATTTTCTTGCTTATTTGTAGTTTTAGTGTTCTTACTCAACAAAACCAACAAAAATAATCCCCTTTTTACTCTTGCATTAGTGATTATTGATGTTGAATTAGTGTGCTTCCCTAGTGGTTCGACCGTTTACTTTCCACTAACTAGTCTAGTGTAGGTTTAGGTATTATAAATGATTAATTTGATTAGGGTAGTAGCTTAACGACCTATCTAACCCTTGATCAAGAAGGCACACAGCCTTTGCCAAAGGCCGCGGGCACGGTAAAAGTACAAGAAAATGGAGATTTTTGGCAGGAACTCTCCACGCCCTGGTCGCGGTCTAGCCGCGGGCGCAGATGTTTTGTAGAGACCGCTTCTATTGGAGAGACCGCGGGCCCCTGATTTCACTTGGGAGCAGAGCATTTGCCGCGCCTTTAGCCGCAGGCACGGGGGTCTTCTCCGCGGGCGTAGGCTACAGTACCCGCGGGTGTTGCCCAGATTGCCCGCGGAGTTAGTTATGGGTTTCGTACCCATTTTTTCCCGCCCGCGAGATATTCTTGTAGAGGGCGCGGCCGATTAGCTTTTCTTCTTTTTCTACAAATACTCTTATAATTCCTTTTCAAAGCTAACTTTAATTTAGATAATTTTTCATTTGCTTAGTTTTTAGAGAGAAAAACTAGAGAGAAAGTAGAGATCGATAAAAATTATTGGATTTTGATTTATATTACAACATTTCTTCAATCAAGTTTGGATTTCTTATTTATATCAATGAAAGTTTGTGAGATTTCTTTCCTTTGAATTTACTTTTATTTCAATTTCCTTTGATGCTTGAATGTTTGATTTTAATTTTGATTTAGGTTTGAGAAATTGTTGAATGATTGAATTCCTTTTTTATTAAACTTGAAATGAATATGTTTGTGATTGAATTTGTTTTGTCTTTCAATTTCACCATGATTAGTGAGTAGATTAGTAGCTAGGGAGAAGGGGAAGCATGCTTGATTGATGATTTTTGCTAGTTGATGATCATTGATTGATTGAATTGTTGCAATTAAATTGGTTGACATAGTTGTGCATGTGATTAATTAGACTAGGAGTGATCAACCTATAAGATTAATCTAGATTGCATTGCAAATTTCAATGACATGAACCCTTGATTTGAGAATTGCTTTAATTGATTGAATTTGATTGTGATTTTCCTTGTTAGCCATTTGTAGTGAACCCTAGCTTGTCTTATAGGAGATATCTTTTGGATTCCTATGATTGCAACTGTTGTTTGTCCCTTGTAATGTTTGAATCAATTGAGTGATATATTAATTAGCATAATTATTTAGCTTGCATGTGGAACTTATATCCCTAGTGTTTAGCATATTGAATTCCTCGATTTGTCTATCTTCTTGAAACTTTGGTTACCAACCACAACCATTTATATTCTTCGAATTAGCTTAACGTAGACTATAGCAACGTAACTACTCATTCCTTTGGTTTCGACCCTTGACTTACCATATACTTGTATTAGGTTGGTCGAGTGTTTACAAATTAGGTTTAGCTCTAGGGAGAGGTAGATCACGACCTACATTTTCCTCTTGTCAGGGGAGAGAGAAAATTTGGGAAAATATATTTTTAATTAGTGGTTCTATTCCATTTTTAGTAACATGTGAAGTATTGAGGGATGATGGGACGGTAGGAGTATCTCTTATGTACTACAATACATAATAGAGAATAAGATATTCATATCATCATTCCAATATAAAAGCTTTATAGTAATAACCATATTACTATACTTGTACCAAGAGTTGCCAAATTTTATGACAAGTTGCATCCTAAATCCTAATTTTAACAAAATAATTCTCGAAAAAGTTATTTTGAAGACTAATCAATATTATACTAACGTGTTTGGGTTGGTTTCGTGTCGTGTCATGTTGGGTTCATGTTTTCTCTTTGTGGTTGTGTCGTTCTGGTTTTGGTTGTGTTGTCGAGTTGTGTCAGTGATTGCCAGCTAAAAATTATTTTTCTTGAAAACTCTAGTTATTGACTTTCATGTTGCTTCAATGTGATCTTAACTGTAAGGCATATTCGCTTTTATTGGTCACAATCGATCACTCAACCTATTATAACAGGTTACTAGACACGTGTCAACTTGTAATTGCTAAACGTAAATAGAAAAATTTGATTTAAATAATCCAACCTTTGACGTATTTATTTTTAATAATCCAACCTTTTGATTATTCCAAAATAATCCAAGCTTTATAGGGTATCTTTTTTTATTAGGCCAAAATGACATTTTATCTATTCTTCCGGTAACTTTTTTTTCCTTTCAATTTTTTTTTTAAAAAAAAGTAAAAAAAAAAAAAAAAAAAAAAAAAAACATTCCCAAATCCCAACCACCTACCTTCCCCTCCCCCGACCACCCCCACCCTTTGCCAGTGTCGCCCATCTCCCTCCCCCTCAACCTAATGCAAGTGCTCATGGATAACTTTCTTTAAAGTCTGCCATTGATTGATTACTTCCATAAAAATTCCCAATATAACCCAAATTCTCTCCTACAACAAC